ATCTCATGATCATGATTGTAGCCGATTGTTGCCAAAAACCTGGGATTTCCCGATATTATCCACTATGAAACTCGTTAGGCCGCTCAAACCTCACATAATGCTCGTTTTGTTCCTTTCTAATGCTCCATAATGCTCTGATGCTCGGATAGTCGTATACTGCCGAATATAATGCCGGCATTATCCGCTGGACCCTACTAGCGTCTCGTACGAATCGCTAACGCGGCTAGCGCACCGCTAGGGGGGGGGGGGGGGTCGGATTTCAGTTGCCAGCACTGTACATGTACATGTACATTATTATTATTATTAAATTTTTGATAGGGCATGTACATGATTATACCACAGTTCTAGTATGTAGGCTATACAATTGTGTACAATTCATCTGATCAGTGCTGGTGGTCTGCATGGCAAAGGGTTCTAATGTGGTCTAGTCTGGTTGAATCAGACTGGGTTGTGCTAACCAATCTTCATCACTTCAATTATCCGACCTAGGCTTTCACTTATCCAAACAGGGCAGGTCCCAAGATGTTCAGGTACCTGGCCACTTGGCTTCCAATGCTTGCATGTGTACATGTACAGTGCACTGTATAATCAGTCCGGGACGGGATCACCCCGGTCAAGGACTTAGGTGCAGGCTGACAAGGAGCATGTTGCGTATAAAAAATAGTTTAAAATACCCGTCATTGAAAGCTATTGTAGCTCCAGTACCAACTGGCACAGTAGTCAGTACTCATGCCCAAATGCTCACCAAACATTTTAGAATGATAAATGAGTTGCAGCGTTGATATAATGACAGACCAGATATTATCTGGTCTGATATTATCTGGTCTGTCCGTTCTGATCGTATACGCTGTTTAGTGCCAGTGGAGCCAAAGTGGTGCTGCAGCGGTGCCAAAGCTAAAGGGTACTCAGTAGTTGCCTCCACGCCATCTACTGAGGCTGTAATCGCAAACAAGTAACTATATGCTGAGTACTGTTGGCCCCGGTGCGGGCTTGCGAATACATGCCTAAACACATTGTCATTAGGTTTAGGCCTGTTTTGGAACTCCACTTTAAATAAAGCCAAACAACAACAACACATTCTGCATGTCAAATGCAACACCTAATGACAGACATACTAATGTTGTTGTACATCTACTTGCGAGTCAGTCACGTCAAGGCAGCAGGACATGCGCGTGCTCCCTCGTGCTCGTAGGGAGCACACAATCATATAAATAATATTATAATGTTCAAGAGGAGAAACCAAGCAACAAGTGCTAACATAGTATTAAGGGGTCGTCCATAATTATCGAACTTTTTTCACGAAACGAAATAATTTCGTTATGGGGTGGGAGGGGGGTTGACCAATTTCGTTTCAGAAAACTTCGATATGCACATGGCCATAGGAGCAGTGACACACTTGCGACTTTTGTTGTACATGTATATGCATGTATATGTCAACAATTTTTACGTTCTGAGGGGGAGGGAGGGAGGGGTTGGGTGTAATTGGGTCTAAACTAAAATAATTCGTTTGGTGAAAAAAGTTCGATATTTACGGACGCCCCTAAGATCTGTCTGCAGCAAACCAATCACGGGTCAGCATAATTTATAGTGTACGCCTCGTATTGTTGGACTCGGATGGAGAGCCAAGGATTGATTTATAAAAGAAAAAGGACCAAGGAACTACATGTACAAGTTACGCTATGTATAATGTCCACTAACACCACCAGTTACGAAACAATCAGCTCATGCCTTAACATTTGCACGACACTGACCGACGGTACTGACGTTCTACAACTAACTGGCTAACAGCTCTAGCATAATTATCTTGGATGCGCATTCCAACAGCCTTCCAACTTGGAAGGTTCTAAGTTATAGAAATAACATAAGGAGGGGAAGGTTAGCGCAACCAAGATAAGCACGAGCTGAAAGTCTCAGCTGTGAAGGACGTTGGCGGATGTTCATGCATGTCGATGACGACACTGGCAAGACCATTGTATAATACGGTCAAACCACGATTCAAGGACGCAAAGCAACATTCCACACAACTTGTGTGGCTGAAAAGATCCGAAGATCAATAAAAGGGGAAGCTATGCGAACAAGAATCATGAAAAACCGAACGCCTCAGTAAAACAGCATTGCGCGTATTGTTCCACTCAATACTTCCCAATTTCGTGGATCGCGCCAACCGTATTTTGCTCTGGGAGTGACCTGTCGACTGAATTCGACTTTAGATCAGTTCCTTTAGGAATGGCTACTGGTAACACTTGAAGTCTTTTTGAATAGGATATTCAAGGCCAGGACGGGCAGGAGTGACACAGAGCCGAATTTAGGCCGTCCCGACCTACATGTATCTACTTACACTAGTTACAGCGCCTAGCTTGGAAAGTGCAAGAGTCTATTGATCACGGTTTCCTGTCAGCTATCATCTTTCGTGAAGAAGACTTACAATGACTGTATTGTATGAGGTCCAATTTCGACCAGTGTTTACAATGATGCGCGCGTTCGCGGCCTTCATTAAAGGATATGCTACATGTACCGGACAATCAAACAACTAACCAGTGTACGTTTTAGCCATATGCCGTCAATGGAGACGTCGGAAATCCCTCCTGGTGGTGGTGGTGGGGGGGGGGGGGGGGGGCACTGTCTTTTGTGGGGAAGTGGTCACCGAGTGGATCCATGCTATGGTAACTGGTATGTTGGTAGAACAGAACCCACGCATAAACAGCACGTGCCTTTGAGAATCCTGCCCCCCCCCCCCCCCCCCCGGGCCCCCCTCTCAATATGCTTTACAACATGACGGGCCAAGGAAGATTCCCACGCCAAACAAATTCTTTACTGGACACACCAGCTATGCACATGCTTTTAGTACACGCGGATATCCCTAGTACTAGTAATAAGTATGCAAGGATGACTTATCATAGCCTTGGCCCGTGTTGGTCCCAGCTCTGTCACAGCTACCTTCCCTTCTTGAGAAATTTGATCAATGCCGCACTTGTCGATCCGTCAATTTTGACAACAGAGGCATCTCCTTGGGCACAGCTACATTCTCTGCCCTGACGGAATTGCTAGACAGTGTACCGGCCAAAGTCCAAGCTCCAGACACGAACACTATGCATGCATGGGGAGAACACTATGCACAACACCAACCCGTAGATCTACCCACGGCAAGACAGCACTGAGTCTGACAGTCTCACTGTAGAACGGGTAATTTTAGCGACTATTAATTTTAGCGTTTTCCCATTGTCAAGCGGTTAGCGACGTTAAATTTTAGCGATTTGCAGCGATTTTACTCACGGACCACCAGTGCACTACTTTAGTAAGTAAAAAGTAAATTTTGCACGTCCGCGTTACCACCGCGTTGAGAAACACAACCAGCTTAGGAAGTTTCGCACTTTAGTACTACAATGTAATGTCTCAACGGATTAGCGACTTGAAACTTTAGCGAAAAGGAGTCGATCGCTAAATTCGCTAGGGTTTTTGCGTCGCTAAAATTACCCGTTCTACAGGAACCGATCCCATCACCAATCACATGCTGTCCCTTGTATAACCGTCGTATAAATACATATACACGAAGCACTGTTGATTTGTGATAGGCATCCTACTGTAAAGAGAGCATGTGACTGGAGACTGCTGAACACAGTGTGAAGTTGGTGGTGTCGTGATAGACTGGCTCTGATGTTGGCATCATGTTGCACACATAATGGCAAGACAATGTTTAGTGCATGTATGTGGGTACCAGTTGGTTGGAGTGTACTTCGCAAATCTTGTCCTCACTTTGGCTTTGGCTGCAGCTCCACGTTATTCTATCTCGGCGCCGAACTAACATATCCACACGAAAGCATAGCTCTCCAATTCTCTCTCTCTCCCCTTACTCCCAGCATCTTTCAACGGAGTTCCTACTCTCCACACATTTACACACACACACATCACACACACACACACCGCACACCACACACACACACACACACACACACACACACACACACACACACACACACACGCACACACACACACACACCATGTACCATGTATACGCCCGTCGCAAGAAAGCACGCAAATCTGCAAATGCACTGGATGTGCAGCCACAGATTTTCTCTTTATAGCAACGATAGCAGATCTGATTCTGATTGAAACAGATCAAGACAAGCGCCAGATAACTGTCTAATCCACACAACTGGCAAAGCCATGTGAATCGACCCCCCAATGCACACCTGGTCTACACCACATGGAGTACATCGGAATAGGACAGCCAAGACAGTTACCTATGCACACCCTACACTTGCTGGGGTAACCAGTATAGACAGCACGCTGCTTTGATAAAAGCAGACACTAGATGCACTGGCACCTTGAAGTGAAATTGGACACACACACACATACACACACACACACACGAACACACACAAACGCACGAACACACACACACACACACGCACACACACACGCACGCACGCACACACGCACGCACGCACGCACACACACACACACACACACACATATCTGGCATGCTTCCGTCACATTCTCTTATCACTTTTCTATGGCACATCATGGCATCTCGTGTGACTGAATTTCTCCATTGTTCATCTTCAGTGTTGCTCATAGTTTCTTGCTAAAATCTGGTGAATCTAGAAAGAAATGGTGATTGCAGCAAAGATTGAGAGTGCTTGGACTGAGTAAAATAATGTGTAAATAACTGCAATGGAGTTTGCAAATCCAGCTTAGAAAACACTACAAAGTATAAATAGAGTTGCAAACAAAATTATGAGATTCCATTGGTCCGGCAGCACAGGCCCGTTACGGTACCGATACACAGGCGATTCTAAACTTGATCTAGGGTCACATGACTGTGTCGATACATACTGGGTATGTAAAGGATGATTGACAAGAATACATACTGGGTATGTAAGGGATGATTGACAAGAATACATACTGGGTATGTAAGGGATGGTTGACAAGAACCGAGGAAAATAGAATGGATTGGCGATCACAGTAAAAAAAAAGAGAGAAAAAATAGCACCTATGAAGTAATACATGTAGAAAACAATGATGAATTCATGTTCTCTTGCATATAAGCCCACACCTTGCTAAGAGACAAAGCAGGAGTGAGAGAGATTTTCGAGATACTAGCTACTCTAGTGAACTAGTTGAAATGCGCAATTGGGAGCGTACATGTCAACGTCAAGGCTTGCCAGAAAAGCAGAGCGGCAAAGCAGCAGATCCATGCACTGCAGTTGCTCTTTCCAATCAGACATCAACAGATCTACACATTCGCTGGCTTACCGTACCACCCTGGAAGGTTTTGCGGCACCCCTGACATGGCTGCCTGTTGCAGGACTAGGTGCAGTCGGTTCACTAGTTGTCGGTCTAGGTACATATGTTGGCTCATTGGCTGTATTACAAGGGCACCACACACAAACCAAATGTATTGTTCTTTAATACTGTGATAATTGTGTGGATAGTTGGTCAGAACTAACACAGCACATTACATTAGATCTTCTAAATCTGCCACACAAATGCACGCATACTCTTGCAAACCCTGGTGTTCATGTTCCCTTGCCTCCACACTAAGATCACCAAAATTCAACTTGCGCTATTTTGTCAACAGACTCACATACAATACAGCTATAAGAAGTATGGACTGTGCAGCCACTGCATACATACATGACATTGTACAAAGCAGCATAGTTTATGGGGTCCAGAACACTGTCTGATTACCAAGTTCCTGTGTGAGTCAACGGTATTGACCGCACAGCCCATACTTCCCACTACACAAGGCAGATAATCATTGATTGTCGAAATTTTGGTCTTCATGTTAGCCGAATGCTGAGCATGAGCTGGCTTGCATTCTATAATGTTATGCAGATTACAATGCAGACCTGCACCATATTACTGGCGTATATCACTAGTGCCAAGCATGCTGCAGGCACAAACTTGTCTGTGAGCCATTTGCGTACACGCAACCGTCCAGAGGCAACACATTCTCAGTGTGAGGTCAGCATGGTAACACTTTGATTTGGACTATATCTGGCATGCGTTGTTTACACACAGAAGCGAGGGTCCCTGGTTCGAGTCCCGGTACTTGTAAGTAAAAAAAGTAAATTATCGTGTCCGTTCCCGGAGGGAACTCACGACGGCCGCTAACACCCGGTAAACCCTAGTGACAGATGCAGCGCCTAACGGTGGGGGTGAGTGGATAAGTCTCACAACCACTGGCACAAGAGCCGAGAACGACCCCATTAGCTGCATCCATGTACCCCTTGTGCCTGGCCACAAGTTTCCAGTTGACTGTGGGTAGCAGCAAAAACTAGATTGTGCACGTCTGACTGTTCAAAATCTGGTTTAGTTGGTGGACTCGATCGCACAACGTGTGCCCACATTTTCCATGTTACAATTTTTCCTTGGCTCACCATCTGACTCATAATCTGAGTTCTTATTGAAGTCGGAATGATTATCATTGCAATTCGGACGGTTTGACTAAGCTATCCGGCTTAGCAATAGACTCTCACACACGCAACTAGATCTGATTCGATCTGGTCATCTGTGTGACCAGTGGAAGCCGCCTACTGTGTCATGGTTTTGCACATTGAAAGTAATGCAAAACAATCATACCATGCTGTATATACTGCAGCACCCCATCGCCACCACCGCCTCGCTTTGTAGCCTCGTCCAGCTGTTGTCTTGTTCTTCTGCTGTATTTCTCATGTCTTCCTCATTTTTGAATTTGATTTTCATTAAAAAAAAGCCATCAGGGAGATCCAGGTCTGTTCAGAAGGATGCTTTGAATAGTGTCATGTTTCAATCTTTATGCATTGAGTGCCATAGGTCGTGTCTCATTGTACGCTGTGTTGTGGTCAGATGAGACCACAGGACTCATGGCTGTCATATCGGTGGTGAATCTGGTGATTCATCCTTTGATTTCATGTAGTTCGTGTACCACTGCATTGTACTGTAGACTACCGTGCTAGTATTGCTTGCAGCTGCCTGCTAGTGCTGTTACGCATGCCTGATTACGAGCTTGCCCGGCGAGGGTATTATTCTTGTGTATGTTCAAGCATAATTCAGACTTCTGGGTGAACAGAAAGAGAACAGTCATTACTTTTAGTGTCCAAGCATTGGGCGGAAGAAGTGAGTCTCTCACAAACGGAGAGCATTGTGTACCAGAGCGGGTCTCTCACTATCGGAGAACTCGGGGTCTCAGTTCTTCATCGGAACATTTATTGGTAGCAGAGGATGGTTTCTATGTAGAGCCATGAGCAGCAACGAACCAGTTCAGATAGAGCCGGCGGTACCGGGCAACTCGGATGAAGGCGATTCGAGCACACAAGGCGTTCCTACGCAAGCGGCGTCGGACGCTGAAGGAACCGGAACCGCAGTACCAGTGGAAGGAGACAGTGATGCGCCACTCGAGAGTGGGTCCCTGTCAACACGAACTTCCGACAACGCAGTTTCAGACGTGTCAACCTTGCGGGCCTGGAAGACGCAGGCAAAAGGGGATTTCACAAAAGTTCGCAGACGTGTGCTGGTGACCATGACGGACGGTGAGTGCAGTACCGAAGAAGTTGTAGCCGGTTTCACAGAATTAGAGGAGGCATACGAGAGGGCCACCGCAGTGATGGCGGATTTGATGGGTTGTTATGCTGTGCAGGGCGACATCGCTGGGAAAACAAAGGTTTTGTCAGAAATAGAGACAATGGAAAGTCAGCTCAGCGCAGCTGGAGATGCACTAGCTTCATTTCTTTCGCAGTCAACCAACACGGGCTACAGTTTTGCATCACATGGCCAACAGCAACACTTTGATTCAGAGCCAGTTTCAGAGTTCTCACGCACCACTGCCAGTACTGCGTCTCGGTTAGGTGCGCCTGCACGTACGCGCTCCAGAAGTGGTATCAGTTACAGCTCACCGCACGGCCAAGCACGCCATTACCTGTCATCGATTGATACTGTGGTTGACCACGAGAGGCCAACAATCGATCAAGCATACGATCACAGAGACCGGTCTTCAGAAGGAGTGAGGATGAACCTCATGAGTCATGTGGACAGGGAAGCAGAAGATCAGTCCGCTGAGTCAGCGTCCGCTACAGTTCGTAGAACCAGCGCTAGCGTCACCGCTACGAGTGCGAGTAGCACGGTGAATTCCGTTTCCAGCGCTAGCCCTCCTTCGTCTTCGAACTTGACAGCGTCCCAGGACGGGTACGGGACAACGACGAGCACCACGAGGCCTGTGCAGCAACTCGGGGCGAGCAGTCAGACTGGTACTCGGGCGCAGGCACCAGGAACGCCACCCAACAGACCAGCGCCACCAGCTGCACCGCAGCCTGCTAGATCTACGAGTGGTAGTGCGAGTAGCAGTGCGACGGCATCACAAAGTGCGGCAGTGACAGCGTCAGCAAGCGGGACTGTGTCTGTTAGAACGGCGTCCAGGGGCAATGCGTATCCGAACCCTGCAGCGCCAGTGTTTCAGTCTCAGAACAGTCAGTCAGTAGCCGGCCTGAATGCTGGTAGACGACCGCCAGTGCCATCACAAGCGAACCCAGTTTCCTACTCAGGACATGGGGGATACGGATATCAGCCAGTCGGCCTGCAGCCCCAAGACTGCCAAGTGCTTCAGGGTCAACCGCCAGCGGTTGGCGCTAGTGCGAATGCAGCTGGACCGTGGATGCAACTGCAGAAGATCAGCATTCCGGTGTTCGACGGAGACAAACGCAGATTTGAAGGGTGGCATGCAGCATTCATGGCATGCATCGACGCTGCGCCCATGACACCAGAGACGAAGATGTTGCAGCTTCGACAGTACCTGGCAGGCGAACCTCTTCGGGCTGTCGAGAGCCTGGGATACTCGGCCGGGGGATATAACGCAGCGAAGCAGCTGCTTGAAAGGAAGTACGGCGGCGAGCGGCGGCGAATCGCAATCCATACAGAGGAGCTGGAGAACATCAAGCCTGTCCGGGTCAACAAGCCATAAGACTTGGAGCGATTCGTAGACCTGCTAACAGTGGCAGTGTCCAACCTGAGGGATGCTGGACGGGCAATGGAGCTGCAGCCTGGTACCTTCTATGGCAAGCTGCTGAAAAAGCTTGACCGGCAGATGTTGGCACAGTACCATCGCTGGCGCCATGACAAGAGGATGGCAGAATCGGTTGAAGTTTTCCTGGAATGGTGTAGTCTGGAGGCGGAGTTTCTAACGACTGCCATGGAAACCGTCGACGGGCTGATAGAGAGCCAACCCAGCAGTAGCAATACTGGCCGGCAATCGCAGTCTGTGCGACCGGTGACACTCGTGACTGCGAAGGAGGAAAAACCGGCGCCTGGGTGCGCTCACTGCAAAGGGAGCCATCCGGTCTGGAAGTGCTTAACCTTCAAGGCCTCGGCACCAACGCAACGCTGGCAGGTGGCACAGAGTTCTGGCCTATGCTTCCGATGTCTCGGGCGAGGGCACTCTGGCAGAGAATGTCAGATGTCAAGGACATGTGGAATCGACGGATGCCAGAAGTCCCATCACCGATTGCTGCATGATCCCCGCCGTGAATCAGCATCCGACAACGGGGCAGGCAGGCCTAAGCCTCAAGCAGCCAAACCGACGGCAGAGCCTAAGCCAGCCACCACCAAGTCTAGTGGCCCAGTGACTCACAATGTTCCGTGCAACTGCTCTGCGGCATCCGAGACAGCGCCTGGCACGGAAGGGGAGCACGTCGGTCTCACCACTGCAATGCTGCAGCGAGAGCCTGTGTCCTTACGCACGATACCCGTGGTCTTGATCGCCGGCAACCGACGAATGACTGTCAATGCCATCTTGGATGACGGAAGCACTCGCTCTTACGTTAACAGCGATGTAGCAGCCGAACTGGGAGTTCAGGGACAGCAACCGGAAAGGATGTCTGTTCACACCCTCAACGGCCACAAAGAGGTGTTCCTCACCACCCCAGTGGCTCTGGAGCTGCAAAGTCTGGACGGGCGTCTGAGAACCGATGTCGAGCTCTACACTACCAAGAAAGTCGTGGGGGATTTCAGCGTTATCGACTGGCAGCAGCAAGGGAGAAAGTGGGAGCACCTCCAAGGCGTCCAGTTCCCACCACTATCATTATGTCGTTCCAGCACCATAGACGTCCTGTTGGGGCTGGACCACGCTGACCTCCACGTTTCCCTGCGAGACATTCCCGGAAAGCCGGGCGAGCCTGTAGCCAGACTAACGCCGCTAGGATGGACATGTGTAGCACCATCAGCAGTTGCTCGACACACTGGCGTTGGGATCACTCTTCACGGCGTGCAGATGCATGAACCACTCGATAGGCTTCTGCGGAAGTTCTGGGAGTTGGAGGATGTGCCGGCAGAAACTGAGACGGTGATCAGCGCAGATGATCAGCAGGTGGTCAGCATGACGAAGGCGACCAT